ACAGATTTGATACTTTCTAAAATAAACAAACTCATAAATAAAAGCAAAAAATAAAATTGAACCAATTTATTTTTCATCAGATGTTTATTTAGATAGGTTCATGTATAGGTCTCAGTGATGCACTTTGTGTTTTACATTTCCTGTGTAGTTGCAGATATATTACATTTCAAAGATTTTACTTTAATCATTTTCCTGAGCCAAAAGCAGTGACCTAAGTCTTAGTAACTTACTTTGATATCAGTAAGTGTTCTTATAATTCAGTCAGAAGGGTAATGCAATGAACTGTGAATTAAAACAGTCTGAACATTCAGGTTCTTTAAGTAGTTAATTCATTCAAAGCTTTTTTTAAAAATCTGTTCTCTCCCATCAAGGGATAAATGAATATTCTGAATGAAAAAGATTGACCAAAGCTCTAATATCAACCCCACAGTTGGCTTCAGTTCTTAGTACAGTAACTCAGACTTTGAACCTACTCTTCACAGTCCCCTCACAACTGAAATCTATTAGGCAGAAAAACAGGTATTCTTACTAATTCAATCACTAGATACCACATAAAAGTAACATTCCTCTGTTTGACCCAGTAATTGTTCTTGAGATTTAAGAATAGTGTGGTAGACTTTGTAAATGCTTTAGCCCATAGGTACACTCTAAATTAAAGCTTAGCAGTACCTAAAATATTATGGTATGAAAATATCCTAAAATGATACACTTGTTGCTGAACTAAGGGCCGTACCTATTCCATCTACTGGGTATGGCAATGGACTTAAGGGCAATTCTATTCCACCCTGATCGAGTCCTGAAATTGCATTAATGCATCTCCTTTTGTGATGCACCTTCATTGGCCTCTAAAGACTGAGTCACAAAAAAGTATTGGGAAGGAAGAGGATGACCCACTTCCCTGTTGCCTTAACAGTTTTTCAGGGACTTGAGCAGCATGGAATAGCACTATACTTAGGTGCCTAACACTACTTACATGCCTAGTAGATGAAATAGAGTCTGGCCTTTAAGATTTATAAAGAATTGAGTATAAAATGAGGAATGAGCTTTTTGCTCTTTCAAAGCTCCCACAGCTCTCTTCATGTTATAATTATAGAAACACAAGAGTTGCATATGCTAAAAAATTGTGGTTTTTTCCCTTCCAAATAATCCTGTCTAATTAATTAAGTTACTAACATAGGCTTCTTCAGGTGTATGCCACATAGGAGTCTATTAATCTCTAGTTTCCATTTGGGGCCCAATTCCACTCCCATTTCCCATTGATTCAAGTGAAAACAGACTCAAGTTGTGTTTGCAATTGGCCTAGCATTACAGCTTGTCTAAGTATCTCTTATAGAGAAAAAAATCTTTAAAAAGTGTTACAATTACAAATGTTCAAAAAGATGATTTACTATCATAGATCCTAAACTTTATAGTAGTTTTTGAAACTCAGTAGACATGTTGCACTTCCTCGTCCTCCTGCTCCTGCCAAAAAACAATAACTGGCAGAAAAACTCAATTTAATACAATCTCTAATTCAATACAGCTCTAAACTACAGGTTTAATTTTAAGCATATGATCCAGTCCATTCCTCTTCAGCAAAGCAATTAAGCATGTTTAAAATTAGGCACCTGCTTAAGTGCCTGACTCATTACATCAAAGTAACTAATCCTCATCATTGTGAGACTGTGAATAAATTACCTCATCCCTTTGTGTGTCTCCCATTCTCAAAGTCTTATCATTAAATAAATATTAGTGGTCAAAATACAGAAAGTACCTGAAAATCCTTTCATCTATAAATAAAACAAATCAAAGTTGCTTTAAGGATCCAAGAACAGAATGTTTCAGTCCAGGTATCAAACAATAAGTTGATTGGCATACTCAGTGAATTGGTTACCTATGTACTTTACAGCCTTAACTCCTAGGTCCCATTCAAAACCAACTAAATTCAGTAATAAATGCTTAAATAATATTTAACTTTAGTATGTTACCTAGCAAAAAGAGCACCTTTATTGATACACCAGAGAGCGCAAGGACAGATAGTTCCTACATAATGGTTTGGGAGGATCTGATACAAAGAGGAATGTAGAAGGAACCAGGACTGCCACCAGGCTCATAGCCTACCAATGTATCCCAGAGTTCAAATTTTAAGGCGGGGGTGGGTGGAGGAGCTAAATTAAACTCTAAAAAAGCTAGGGAATTTTTCTGATTGCATTTATTTTTCTTACTACTTTATTATGAATGCTGAACCCTGAGGAAGGAGCTTCCTTACTGCCTACAATGCTTCTGCTCTCCTGAGCAGGGTTCTGGTGCTTGTCGCCATGTTGATCTAAGGACATAGGCGACAAGGTTCTTTGGGTAGATGTGATCTCTTTTATTAGACCAACTAAATAGTTGGAAAAATTGTTTTTTGTAAGCTTTTCGGCACAAACAGCCTTCTTCAGGCATAGAGAGTCTCTATGCCTCCATAGAGAGTCTCTATGCCTCTCTATGCCTGAAGAAAGGCAGTTGTGACTGAAAGCTTGCAAAGAACATTTTTTCCAGTTGTTCAGTTAGTCTAATAAAACAGATCACATCTACCCAAAGAACCTTGTCTGCCTCTGCTCTCCTGAGTCACTTTACAGTTTACAGATAGCTTTTATGAGAGAAGGAAATTGTTTTGCAGGAGTAATATAGCCAGTTGCCTTTAAAGATGAAGGGAAAACATCATAGGAATCTAAGGCCTTTATTTTCAGTCTCTTAGATCAGTTTTAATCAAGGGTAATTCTGCTAGACCTACATTGCCTTTTCTAATTACTGCGGAAAATGGTTTGTAACATGCCATCAGATCAGATCAGTGATTGTATTTTACAACCACTTTGCATGGTTAAAATTGGCTACTACAGGTGCAAGCCAGTGAAGAATCTGGCACATAAACTTCAGTTGAGCTGCTTCTGACGTATACTGTTGTGAGAGAAAAGTCTGTATTCCCTAACAGTTCAGACTTGGCAAATGCAAGATCTGGAAATGCCTGCTGTTCCCTCTGCTGTCTGGCATCTGCCAGGCTGGCTGTTGTCTCTTTCATCCCATCCTTGATGTTGTATCTCTGCATAAAGAGTTGTACCAGCTCTTTTCACTATGTGGCTCACAAAATGGTTCAAACAGCATTACAAAATCTCCCATGCTTCTTCTCAACATACATTTCCTCTCAAAATTTATAGAAAAGCATGGGAAATAGTGTAATGTCTAATCCATGGGGAGCAACAAAGAGAAAAGACCTAGTAAAACTCTGCTTTCAGACATGTAACATCTAGAGGCAGAGAGGAACAACTGCCAGCTTGAGAGCACAAGGTGCCAGACTCTGGAGATAAAAACAGAAGCTCCTGGGTTTTATGTTTGTAAGTACAAACCATTAGTGAGATGGTAAATGTCTTCTGCTCCTTTGTGATCATTTCAGGGGTGATGATGGAAGATGAAATGTCTTCCTCATGCCTGTCTTCTTGAGTTGTTTTAAGTGTTTTAATGCAATAACAGCTAACAAGATCAAGCAAATGCTTGACTATGTACAACGATGATCTCTTATTTTTTAGTATTTCCTATCTTCATTAACATTTCCATTTTATATTTATTTATTTCCTTGGAACATAAATTCCCTATTTTCCAATCATCTCCTGATTTAAATAAGATGGCACAATGAACTTAAACAGCCTGATAGGTTTCAGTTTCTATGGGATCATACTAAGAGGCAAGTAGTTTCTAAGTTAACCAGATCCAGGCATAATAGAAAGGTTGTCCAAACCCATCTAGCCCTCTGACTACTATCCCATACTGCTCATCCATGTAAACACTAATGATACTGCTGGGGGCAATCTTGAGCAAATTAAAAGTGACCACATGACTCTGCCTTGTGGGCACTCCTTGGTTAGAAAAAGGCTGAGGGACATCACCCTAACAGAAATGCACTCACTGGTGTTAGGCAATCAGCAGCAGCTCTAATCTTTTGCTCTCTGGTAGAAGCTACAACCATCGAGGCACTGAACATCTGGACTCATTCTGGCCTTTAAACTCTGTTTCAATAGCCTAAATGGGGAATGGTAGGTCTAGAGCAGCCTCCACTCCTCCATACTCTTGTGTAGGCATATGCACTGACTATCTTAGTGTGGTGGCCACATAGACCTCTTGCATGTACACCATGATCCAGGGGATTGACGGTTGCTAAGACATGGCTTTGGGTGAAAGGTGTGGGAAACAGGAGCCCAGGTGGTGTTCTCGCTCCATCCAGTCAAGGGTAAAGGCCTGGCAAGGAAAAGACACATCCTAAATATCAACAGGTGGCTGTTAGGCCTGTGCAAAGCAAAAGGTATCTGCTTTGGATTTGGCCGATTTGGAAGGACAGTGATTCAATTTAGTCATTCAAATCACTGTCCCAATATGATCCAACCAGTTTGGATTCTGAGATTTGGCACCAATTCGGAGATTCAGCCATAGACTATCCAGGCAGTCCTTGATGACGCTGGACACAGCTGCCTCCAGTTGTTAAGTCTGTTGTGGTAGGCAAAGGGGGAGGGAAGGGGCATGGTGGAGAGGGCAGATCAACACCCCCACAGCAAGGGAGGGATTGGGGCTGGGGCTGGGGCTGGGGCTGGCACTGGGGCTGGAGCTAGAACAAGC